AGATTTAGAAGACAAGAAAAATCTCTCTAATGAGTGTATCACATATCCCTTTAACTTTGCTTAAGGGGTTTGTGGTTTAGTTGATAATTCTAAATGCTTTGGTATTTGTTCTTGGTGGTTTTTTTTGTTATTTTTGTTATTTTTTTTTTGAGGCAAGGTTTCATTATGCAGTTATGGCTGGTCTAAACTCACAGTGATCTGCCTGCCTTTGCCTACAGAGTGCTGGAACAAAAAGGCATTTGCCACCAAACCTTATCACACTGGTGTTCTTTTAAAAAGATGTGTGGGTTGAGTCAGTTCTAGAGTGTGGAGAGTCAGCACTTCTGGACCCTGCTCTTGAGTGCCCCTGCCTGCAGTGTTCACAGCACCTCAGGAAAGATCAGAGGCCATTGGAGAATATACAATCTGAGGGTTGGTGTTGACTAGACTAGGATGTTGGGAGTTCACATAGTCACCTGAAGAAGTAGTTTTATTTGTATACAGGATTGGAGTTGTTGACGCCATTATCTGTGTAAGGCATGCTCTTAATAATGGTCAGTGATTGATGGATAAGACTGAAAGCTCTACTGAGTTCATACTTCTTCTCCAGCCCCAATAACCTAAATGGGGAACCTCAGACAGCATGAACAGTAGAGAAGGGAATGGCTCTTGGTACATCAGGTAAAGACATCCTCCCTGCAGGTCCTGGTTTCCAGAGTGCGTCTCCTAGCAACTGCATTCCGAGCAAGTCTTTTGTCAAGTTGAGAAGGGAAAATTCAATCTCAATTTATTGCTACTGACAAAATACTCTTAAAGATTTTATAGGTATACCTTTCAAAAGGACATAGTTTATATATGACAGAACTTAATAAAATTCAGAAACATACATCATGCTTGGATTTTGTTCATAAGATTGAGGGAGGTTCTCAGAAGAGGGTACGAGGCCATTTCTTTTTATCTAAGTATATATTACAAATAATAAACCACAAAAGTACTATTCTATTTTCATGTTTCTCACACAAAACAAGGAAATCTGGTGATTGTTATTTCCTATATTCACTATGCTTTGCCCAGACCTCACAGGGAACCTATAAATTAGTATTTTGGTTTATTTATATTTGTCTGCATTAGAATGTAAGCTCTTAAAGGGAACAACCACTGAGTCATTTGTTTTCATCTTTTACCCACATCAGAACTAATATATGATTGTGAGTCTACATTTGTAGGCTCAAAGACTGAAGAGATTATTACCATTTCTCTACCGATCATCCTAGAAATAAATCCAATGAGAGAAAATACATGGTGGTCCCTCACCTTATAGTCAATATACTAATTACTCTTCTCATTTTCCTTCCACCTTTGCTAAATGGTGAAAAAAAAGCCTTTTGAGAAGATGTGTTCCCTTTAAGATAGAAAAATCTTTACTATGAACAGGGTTAATGATTCTTCAAGGAAGACCACACCAAGTAAGTGTCCTGATTATTTTCCTTTGCTGAGCCACCTATCTCTTGCTTTTCCTACTTGTGAAAGTACTGTGTAGACACACGTCTGACCACACACACACACACACACACACACACACACACACACACTCATACTCACTCACACACACACACTCTCACACATAACACACACAGTCACACACACACACACTCACACTCACACACACACTCACACTCACACACACTCACACACACTCACACACACTCACACACACTCACACACACTCACACACACTCACACACACTCACACACACTCACACACACTCACACACACTCACACACACTCACACACACTCACACACACTCACACACACTCACACACACACTCACACATACTCACTCACACACACTCACACATACTCACACACACATCCACATAACACACACACACACTCACACACACACTCACACTCACACACACTCACACACACACATTCACACATACTCACACACACACTCACACACACTCACACACACATCCACATAACACACACACTCACACACACACACACACACTCACACTCACACACACACTCACACACACACACACACACACACACGATAGATAATGGAAGATAGATAGATAGATAGATAGATAGATAGATAGATAGATAGATGTAATTAAAAAGCAGTGAACTTGGTGCTTGGGATATGGCACAGTGGATAAGAGTACTCATTGCTGTTCCAGAGGACCTGGGTTCAATTCCCAGCACCCATATCACATGATAGTTCATAGTTATCTGTAACTCCAGTGCCAGGGAATTTGATGCCTTCCTTTGGCCTCTATGGACAACCAGGCATCAAAACACCCATACACATAAAAATTATTTAGTTAAAAATAAATTTTAAGACATTTAAAGGGCAGAGAACTCATAGCTACTCCCAGTCAAGTAGGGGTGGGGTCCGGGTCCCATCTGCTCTGGGAATAACTCCCTCCCCACTGAACAGGGTAGTCTTGTGAGCTGAGAAGTCCCAAGAGCCTGAGTTTAACAAACTGTGTTTTTTGGTTGGGTCTCCTCAGGTGCTGGCATCATGATGTATGGCTTCATGGCATTCCCAGTCTATGCCACCACCACCTTCTCTTTACAAAGGGTTAACTTCTCCTTGTAGCTCTTCCCTGCTGAGCTCGGCACCTCTACTGTGGTACAGGGCAGAGGCTGTGGCCATCTGAGGCTGTCCCCTGATAACCTAGGCTTGCCTCAAGAGGAGTCATTGCTCCATACTAGTTCCTTATTTGAAAGGAACTTACCAGAAAGGGGGTGGTGGATGGGGAAGCTTTTCTCATGGGAATAAAAGCAGATGAATTGGGTCAGGTTTGTAGTAACTGGATTATACGGCTTCATTACATGGACTTCATAAGAATAAACTTACAGCTTTTATCCATGAGGCAAGAAACCCAGAAGTTAAAGGCATGTAATGGCCAAGGGGTAGAATGAAGAGGAAGGTGGGGTTTAAACCCCTCTGCAGTGAGATACTGTGTGTTCATACAAACAACACTGCCCACAGGACCAATGACTTCCTTTTTGCCTTGAAATTCACAGAGTGGGGTGTCATGGCACAGAATCGTAATCCCAGCCTTCAGAGAGTGGCAGGGGAGGATTGACAATTTGAGACCAGACTGGTCTATATATAGCAAGCTCCAGGCCATCCTGGACTTGAGAATGAAACCTCTGTCAGAAAAAGTGGGTGCAATTTGCCTGGTAGGGCTGGATGGAATCGTTCCATGCCTGTGTAGTACATGCAGCCTACTGGAACCCTAATAACCTTCAGGTTACCCTAGGTTACTCATGCACAGTGACGGGAAGGATCGCTTACCTCCTATGCTTTCTGGGTCTGAGATGTGGGGTCAGCTGCCAGGATTTCACCTGCTGACTTGTAGGCAAAGTGATAGTTACCTTTTCTGAGAGAACCACATGCCTGGATGTTGAAATGACATGAATATCAACCACTCCGTCTGAAACTATCATGTCCACAAACTCTGTATATTACATTGTTGGAATGCCATATTAATATACATATATATAAATGTATGAATGTCAAGTTGATTTATCTCTGCAGATTGTCTTAACCCCAGCCACTGGCCTGGAGCTGGTGATTAAATTATAAACGAAATGCTACCACCTGCTGTCTATCTTGTAAACTGCACTGTATACATGATTCCCTAGGCAAGCCATTAAGAGTTCCACTGGTCTGTGGTTAAGAGGCACTGCTAGTTGGATTTCCACTGCCTTCAAAAACAGTTGGGAGCTTTTCTAGTATTACCTAAAACAAGCTTTGTTAGGGAAGATTTTTGCTGCAGTTTATGAACCGGTATCTTGCAAAACAGACGAAATTCTTTTGTGACGCCCAGAAACTAAGAACCTCCCAGTTAGGGCTGAAGGGTCATGATGCGTTGGGAACATGTCTGACAGTGAGACTCTCGGAGGCAGAGGCAATCTAGAGCTTGAAGGAAAGCCCTCCGCATCTTTGCTGTAGCCATAAAATCTTGGCAGAGCAGGCATTTATCTGGCCACCAAAGCTGGAGTCAGGAGGAGGCAGGTCCTTGCATGCCAGCCATCGACTGCCCCACTGCAGCGTGCTCTCCTTTGGCACTGGCATCTGAAAAGTGCCCTGGTGAGTTGAGTCCATCTCTCTTCTACGGCTAAAATATAATCAGACACCTCAGACTAGTAGCAAGAGATATGCAGTATTTTTCTTCTTATGGTTCCAGTACAGTCATACATGGAAATGGGGGAGGTAACATACATTGGTCCCAAATGACTGGAAAAATCCCTTCAGTGCTTGGCCCTGTTCATCAACATGAAAGTCATCTTCTATTTCTCCGCCATCATTTAACCATCATATGACTGTCGTCACTTTTGCATGGTAGTGGGAATTTACCATAAAGAAGGATCCAATCTTTTTACAAATATATAATCCGGAAGTAGGAAAGACTCGTGATGTTCATTGACCACAAAAGCAATTAACAGAGCATACATAGTAGATAGCAGCCACTGACTGTTAGTTAAAGGAAGAGAGTAAATCACATTCAACTTCCTGTATCTGAAAAATTAGATGAATATTCAGTGTTTGGGGAAATCATAGTATATGGACCATGCTATCGGTAGAATTTTCCAAAATATTAATTCAAAGAAGGGATTTTAAATAATAACTCTGCCTGTGATTTATTGTTTTGTTTATGATCAGTTTTGCCCCTTGTCTGTGAAATCCCCTCCAATTGTGGATTTGCCTTGTAGAAGGCATGACGTGAAGGCCTTGATCCCCACAGACGTAGTTTTTCCTCTTAATGACAATGAAGTCATTCTTCCTGGAACGGGAAGCTTCCTGTGGTATGAATGTCTGCCCTGACTCCTCAGCTCAAACTCAAGTGGTGAGATGGGGTGGGGGGGACAGGAAGCCTGCCTCAGCCAGGCATGACGAGGTAAGTGGGTACAGCACCAAAGCAATGACGACTTAAGAGACCCCCCTCTGTCCTCCCTTTGGCTCACTTGGTTGTTTTTGGTCTATTTGCTCTGTAGAAATCGCCATCCAGCACCAGCCACCCACCTAAAATCAAGGTGAAGAGCTCACCTCTCATTGAGAAGCTCCAGGTAAGTGTGAAATGCATCCTGCCTCATGCACATGCCCATGGCACCCATGGTCCAGCCCTTCCCTGGTATCCATCATATACTACTTAAAAAAAAAAAAAAGACCTAACAATGCTGCTTCTTAGCTCATGCATTTTCTATATTTAATTCTTTCCATGACTCAGTCTTGTCTTGTAGCCTGTAACACTTGAATATTCTCAAGGTCATCAGTCTTGCCTAGGGGGAGTGCTAGGGGCCAGGGCATTGTGAGGGTGGGATACTAGACAAACAATACATGAGAGTAACCGAAATCAGCCACAAAAGACTGTTGGAGGTCAGGCTAAAAGTTGGGACAAACAGAAGACCCAAGTCTCAGAAGGGTGTTTAGGTTTGCTCAAGATCACACAGCAGCTATGGAAAGAAAGATCCTATATTAAATACAATTGACTGTGTGGAACTTTCTGTTGCTCTGCCAACCTCACCTGCCAGTCACCTCTCTGAGAGGTCTTACATAGGACCAGCCCAGTTAGATCTACTCAGCTGTGAAGGTTTGGATCTATACAGGGCAGGAGGAAGATGTGGCCCCTAGATGACCCTATAAACCTGTGGACCGGTGATGCAGCTCAGTTGCCAGAGTCCAAGAAGCCCAATTCAATTCAGAGTTCAATTCTTAGTGCCTCAAAAACTGGACATGGTGGAGCATGCCTGCAATCCCAGCACTCTGGAGGTAGAGGCAGGAGACTAGGAAGTTCAGGGCCATTCCTGCTGTATAGTGAGTTGAAGGCCTGGCTCTGTGAGGCCCTGTCTGTTCATACATAATTCTTCTGTAGTCATCTTCCTGCTCTACCATCTGTAAGGTTGATCTGGGGTCTCCCACCTGTTCCCCCACAGAACATGTAGATTCCCTTAGGCTTTGGTTACCTTTGAGTAACTCTCCCTTTGGTCTCCCTTCATATTCCTTTTGATCTGGTTCCAATGTATTGCCATGCCCCAGAGGAGAGACACCCTAAGAGTGTGGTGTCCACCATTGTGCTGCCTCCAAAGACGGAACTCTACTGGGAGGCCTCCGGGACAAGCAGGCTGGCCACAAACCACCTTCCTATCAGGAGACCAACACTGACTGTGCAAAGTGGTTGCAAAGGCAATGGCTGTATCCAGCAGATATTAATAGGCATATACAGCAGATACTAATAGGCAGGAAATGCTATTGGCCAATGGGAAGATGACATGGGTGGCAAATACTGCAAGAACCTGGCAGCTAAAGGTGCCACCAGTCATTTTGCTTTGGGCCACTGTGACTACTCACTAGAGCTGTTCTTCTTCTTATTATTATTGCTGTTACTAGAGAAGTTCTCACTATGTAGCTCCAGCTTGCCTAGAACTCACCAATGTAGACCAGACTGACCTTAGACTCACAGGATCTACCTACCACTGTGTCCTGAATGGTGGCACAACCCCTTTAATCCCAACACTCAGGAGGCAGAGGCAGGCAGAGTTCAAGGCCAGCCTGGTTTATAGAATGAGTTCCAGGACAACAAAAGCTACACAGAGAAAAAAAAAGCTACACCACTCTGCCAGGCCAGGGCCGCTGGATTGAATCAAATCCACCTCATCAGGATCTGAGCATCCGACCAGGCCGCCTGCTGCAAGCCAGGTAGCAGGAGATATGGATAGGCCATGCTTCCACAACTGAATAATTGGTTGAGGAGAAGTATGCAAAGTTTGCTACTGAGTATCCTCCACCAGCTAGCTGGGAGGCCAGTGAGGCCAGAACAAAGTAGAAGCCCTCATCTTCTCCCCTTTCTTGACAGGCCAACTTAGCCTTTGACCCAGCAGCTCTTCTGCCTGGGGCTTCACCCAAAAGTCCTGGACTCAAGGCCATGGTGTCACCATTTCACAGTCCTCCTTCCACACCCAGTAGCCCAGGCATCAGGTCTCAGCCAGGAGAGGCAGAAGAAGTGCCCGTGAGCTTTGACCAGCCCCCAGAGGGTACTCACCTGCCCTCTTACACGAAGGTAAGTGTTGGCTCCATCGGATTATTGTGGTGTGCTGAAGGAAACGACTTGGGATATTTGAACTTTTGACCATTGTAAAAAGATGTCATCTACTGTTTTCGGGGTCATTTGCATTGAGCCCAGAGCTCACCCATTGGCTGGAGTGCTGGCCAGCCAGCTCCAGGGATCGATCAGTTGTCTCAAATCTACCAGTCGCCTTTGTTTTTCACATAGGTGTGAGACTCCACACACAGGTCCTCACTCTTTCATAGCAAACACTTTTCTCACTGAGCTATCTCCCCAGTTGATGGATGAAAAGCACGTATATCTTCCTGCAGTCCACCAAGTAATTTTACAATCATCTAGAGCAGTGGTTTTCAACCTTCCTAATGCTGCAACCCTTTACTACAGTTCCTCGTGTTGTGGTGACCTCGATGTCCCCTTCCCTCATCCCCCGAAGAATAAAAGTATTTTCTTGCTACTTCATGACTGTAATTCTGCTAGTGTTATGAATCATAATGTAAATATCTAATATGTAGGATACCTGATATGCAACCCCTGTGGGGACCTAACCCACGGTTGAGAAACACTGCTCTACATTCTGATTTGCAATAAACAGCAAGTAGCTTTACACCCTCCTAGGAAACTTAATGGCCCTACAGTGAGTTTGTTCAGCACCCATAGTCATCCTGTTGGCCTTTTTATTTTCATGATTACAGTCCTTCACATCTTCTTTCAGGTGCGGACTAGAGGCTCAATAAAAAGACGTCCGCCCTCCCGGCGATTCCGACGGTCCCAGTCAGACTGTGGGGACATTTTAGACTACAGGGCTGTGGAGCCATCTCAGGAAAATGGTGCCGGGGTAGAGAATGGGGATGATGTGTTCTCTAACAAGAGCAAGGCCCCCAGGTCTCGCCCACCCAACCAGGAGGCCATGGGAGACCGGGTGGAGGGAACCCCGGAGTCTACAGAAAAGCCTCCTCAAAGGAGCATTTACAACAGCATGGAGAAGCCAGAAGAGCAGGTAGCGACTCCAGGGGAGACCAGTGCAGGAGAGGAGGCTGGACAGAATCCAGACACAGCTAGCCAGGGCAGCCTGGAGGCCCCGGAGCTACCCCACACCTGCAGCACCGAGGCTGAGAATGGGTGTGGAAGCCCAGCGGAGGGGACAGCCACTGAAGAGCATACAGACACCGGGAAGGCCACAGATGGGACAGCCTCTGAGGAGAGTGTGGCAGATGAAGAGGAGGGAGAAATCAGGGAGAAGCCCCCCCAAGGTTCTTCTGGAAGAGTAGAGGGCACCATTATCCCAGAGGTGGAGACAAAACAAAAGGAGGGGCCACCTGTGGAGCCAGGCTGCAGCCCAGGGGTCGACAATACCTCAGGAGAAACCAGCAATGAAGTCCAGAATGATCATGAAGCCTGCATGGTAGGTGGCCCTAATGATTCATACTGCATCATGGCTGGAGCTGCCCCCATTTGTCACATGACCTGTTTCCCCCAGTCTGGTGTTAAATCAGCTCAATATGCAGAAACAAAGTCACCAGGTCCCTCACCTTGTGCTGACTGCAAAGAAACTGTCTGTTGTGGGGCAAGAAGGGAAGTGTGTCTCGTGTTCTGGCCTGCTTCTGGCTGACTGGGCCAGCTTCCAGGTGGGCATGGAGTGAGCAGGGCTTGACAACAGCTCTGTGACTAATGCTGACAGTGTCTACTGGGGGGAGAGGTGTGCAGGGTGCTGCTGTTGGGGTCTGGAGGGGAAAGAGTCTGTGTAGAGAACAGGGGTAAGACATCAGGGACATTTCCAAGCACAAGTGGCCTTGGATTGGGTCTTTAAAGGAGACTTTGTGTGGCATCCACTTAGTCACAGGCAATGTCCTGTGTTGCAGCTGAGAAGAGAGGCAGCACAGTCCCTGTCCTTCTGTCAGCCCACACACCTTGGGCCACCTTCTCCACCTGTCTCCACCAGCTCAGGAAATCACCCTTAACTCACCTGTCTGCCTTAGGGGACTACCCGGTTCTGTAGAGGCTTGGAAGCTCCCCAGCTCAACTGGGAGCCCCTCCCCAGCCTGTTCCTGACAGTTAATTTCCTTAGCTCTGTCATCTTCATGTTCTGCTTTCCAGTTTTGTCACTCACTCAGCCACCATGTGCATCCTACTATGGTAGCCTCTTGCCTTTCTGTCATCCTTTTGGTTCTCTCTGTAAGATTCATTCTCTACACGGTAACTGAATTGTGTGTAGATGGATGTGTAGTGGGCTGGCATGAAGCTACTCTTGGCAGGATTTCTCCCCTCTTTTATTAGGTTTCCAGACACAGTTCCACAGGGTTAGTGGCTTGAAACAACAGAAATCAACAGAGTGTGCAGCTTGTGACTGTAAATCCCAGCACTCAGTGTGAGATGGAAGAAAGACATGAGTTCAAGGCCAGCGTGGGCTACATAATGAGTCCAAGACAGCCCTAGTTAAAGTTTAAAAACCCTGTCTATAAATGCATGCATACATACATACATAATAATAGAAATGTCATTTCTCACTATTCAGAATGTCAGAGACTCCAAAATTAAGATGTTGACAAACGGAGCCCTCCCCAGGGATAAAAGAACCTGTCTCTCTCCCATTAGTCATCTGCATCTTTACAATCTTTCCTTGCCTCCCCAGATTCTGGTGGCTGTCATAAGTGTTTGGCAGTCTGTGGCTTGAGGATGCCTCACTCCAATCTTTGTCACCATCTCTGTGTGACCTTTGTCTGTGTCTGTGTGTCTCAGATTTCCTCCTCTTTTCTCTATGGGCCAGAAGTCTTCAGATGCAGGATGCTCCTTGAAGCCAGTGTGGTCTCATCTTAAGGTCCCTCATCACATCTGCAGCAATCTGCTTTCCAAATAAAATCAAATTTGGTGCAGAAATGGACACACTTCCTTCCCTGGCTCTCCCCAGAGATTGCTCTAGCAATCTGATGTCTTTTTTTTTTTTCTGCAGCACACCAGGTTTATTCCCTACTACAGGCTCCTTTGTAGCCCCTCCAACTATAACAGTTCTCTTTCTGATCCTCATATGGCCACTCCCAACCCATCCTTCAGGTCTCGGTTCAGCTGACGCTTGTCACTAAAGCCTCTCTCTGTGACCACTCAGTCAAAGAAATCTGCTCCCACTCCACAGCTACTCTCTTCTGTAAATCCACTTTGCCTTTTTCCTGGGTTTTGTTTGTTTGTTTTTAGATTTATTTATTTCATTTTATGTGTATGCATGTTTTGCCTGCATGTATGTAGGGGTACCACATGCATGTCTAGTGCCTGTGGAAGCTAAAAGAGGGCGTTGAATCCTCTAGAACTGGAGATTAGGAATGGTTATGAGCTCCCCTGGGGGTGCTGGAAGCCAATCCCAGGTGTCCTGCAAGAGCAGTGAGTGATCTTAACCACTGAACCATCAACTCTCTAGCTCCTCTCCTATTTTTATTGTCTCTTGTACTTTTCTTCTAGTGTACCCTCCACACTCACTGTAGAATCTGGAACATGGCAGGTTCTTTAAAACTATGTGTAGAGATAATGAATGAAATTTTTAGCTAATTAGTTTCCTGAGTCAAGGTCTTACTCTAAAGCTCAGGCTGGCCTGACACTCACTATTAGTCCAGGAAGCCTTGAACTCAAGAAAATTCTGCTTTAGCCTCTTGAGGACTGCGCCAATATGTCTAGCTGAATAGACGAAAGTCATGTAGCCCAAAATAAATGACTCCTAACAACAGAACATCAGGCACAACAGGACTTGCTGGGCTTTGAATGCTACTCCTGGGCCCCTGGGTTCTATCATACAGAGTAAATTCGGGAGAAGAAAGTCTCAAATGCACTCAGGGAGTATGACACTCTAATACTTCTTTGTATTAGATTTGGAATGAACCATCATTAGGTTTAGAATCTTCTAGAACCTGGAGATTCCACTAAATCCCCAGACTGCAGTAAATGCCCAACCCCTTAGTCCTCTTGGAGTTCAAGTAGTCCTCCACCAGTGGCTCCACACCTCACTTGCTCAGTGGCACCTGCCTTCCTCGCTGACAGCCTCTTCTGGTCCCCAGGAGTGGGGGTCACCTGGGTATAAAGTTGGTGGAGAGTCTCAGGTTGGGGATGGCTTTCTGAAGAAAATTCAGGCCAGAGCTATAGGGCAAACTCTCTCTGGTCATCTCTCCAGCTTTAAACTCTGTATTCCTAACCCAGAGAACCCTGGCCAGGGGAGAGAATGCCTCAGGAGCAGCCAGTGGTGCTCCCAGTCAAGGGTGCTACCAGCCAACAGCAGCTCAGATAGAGAAAGAAGAGCTGCCCTCTCCACATTGCCACACTCCCACCGCACCCCCAATCACTGAGAGGGAAAACTTTAATACTAGTTAGTCCACCCTCCTGGTTTTAGAAGGGAAGGTACTGTGGGCCTGGAAATTATCCAAGGTCACCAAGTTCCATCAGTGCTGACTATTGGGCACCTGTTCAAGTCTTAACAATAATCTGTGTATAAAGTGTCTCTGTCTATGTGCTTCTCACACACAAGCGATATTGCTTCTCATCTTTTTTGGTCGCTCTCAAGCCTGGTCCAGACTAGAGTCAGAATGCATCCGAACACTAGGGAAAAGGGTTCCCCAGGGATAGTAGTTATGAGAGGTCACACGGCACTTCCCGAGGCACCCATGACTTTCCTGGGTCTTTCCTGCGGCTGGCAGAGAGAGGCAGCATACAATAATAGTAAATGGTTTCTCACTCCCCAATCGAATCCCATTTTGTGCTTTGATCAATAGAAATCAATTAACTGACCAAATAAATTAATTACCGTTGCATCTGTTCAGTCAGCACCTAAGAAGCCTGGATCATCTTTATTGATGTGGGAGAGACTGGGGCTTCAAAGTGGGGGAGACACAGCAGCAGAAACAAGACAGAACAATGGGCTCCGCCTGCCAATCGTGCTGTGCGAAGTAGGAAGGATGGAGCAAGGCTTCTCCAAGAGAAAGGGGGATTTGGGGGGGGGGGGAGACGTCCGTAGGTAAAGTTCTTGCCATGCAAACATGAGGATCTAAACTCAGATCCTCCACATCATGCTTTAAAAGGGGGACAAAGCAGTGCACGTGGGAGGCTGAGGTAGGAGAATCTCTGAGGCGTGTCAGGTCTACATAGTTAGTTCCAAGCTAGACGGGGTCACACAATGAGACTCTGTCCCAATAAATAAATAAACAAACAAGACGGACAAGAACTTAGGAAGACATCCAGCATCTGCCTCTGGCTTCTACACACAGATGTGTGTACATCTCTGCACACATTGCATGAAACTGTATACACCACACACACACACACACACACACCACGGAGCAGGGAAAAGTTACATAGACATCAAATCTAAGGGGGACCTAAAGGATTACTTTCCTTCCCTGTTAGCCCTCACAGGTAATTTAACATCTCAAACTCTGGGCCCTGGGATTAAATCCCAAATCTACCATTTGCTAGCTGTGTAACCCTGGAAAGTCACTCACCTCTTTCAATGCCTTCATTGTTTCACCTATAACATAGAATTCACGGAATTCCCTAACTCCCGTGGGTTTTCTGAGGTTTAAATGGTGTGTGAATAAATACATCAGGCACATTGCCTGCTGGCTAACTCCTACTTTATGGCTTTTGCCTTATCTCACATCCCCAAGGAGATCTGCTGATGACGGTCTGTCTTCCCCTGTTCACAGGATGACAACCCCATGGAGGATACCCGAATGTGATGAAGAGCTCATGGTGCCAGTGATGAAGCCACTGGAGACATCTCCTTGGAAACGGCAGCATCAGTAGTAGCGACAGTAGAACATGAAGCCACTGCAGAAGCAGGATGCACTGAACATGTACCATCAGCCCAGGCTGCACAGTGGACCATCCCCTATAGTCCACAGCAAATGTCTTTTCACTGGAGATCAGAATTGAAGGCAGTTGAGTTCTATCAACTTGAGTTTGTGCCATTTGATGGACTTGACTCAAGGTAAAACAGATTTAAAGCAATTGGCTGTGGTGACAATTCCTCGGCATACTGGTCATCCTGTTGACCCCCATCTCTTCCTGCAACTGACCTCCCGACTAGGCTCTGCTTGAACCTCTGCAAAGTTACAGCCTTTTTATTGTTCTAAACACTTTATGGTTGTCCGATATAACTTAAAACTAATTTTAGGTAGATAAAGAAGAGTCTTGTGGAAAGTACAATCCTCTAAGTAACAGAAGACCTGAAAGTATATCAAAGCCCTCAAGATGATCTTTCTGCTTATTCCAGTGGAGAAATGGACAATCAATTTCAAAAACATTGGACTCAAAGAGATATTTATTAAAACATGTAAAAATGTGTTCCTGTCTGTTCAAAGGGTGGGAGCATTTCCTGTCACAAAATCTAGCTGGAGGCAACAAGGGGAGGTGACTGGTCCATCTCATCCC